TCACAAGGGTTGAACAGAAAATTGATCAAAGGGATTGTCTTCACTTATTATTTTGATAAGTTGTAACTCTATTCTAACGATGGCGCCTCTCACTGATGATGCTTTTCGAAGCGTTCGGGAATGTACCAATTCAATGGTTCAATGCTAGAAATCACGAATACTATGACAGACGACACATGACTAGATACGTTCTACTGGGTCTCCCTGACGCTCCGACCAAGTTGAAAAATCGAGGTCGAAACAACACTATAAATAACTAAACTTGTTTATCAATTACAAACAGGTTGTGAATAATACAAGTTTTTAGTCAAGTAGTACTGTACTATTCCAAGCTATTATAACATGTAATTGCTTCTATCTCATTGAAAAAACCTACCAATAATTTTGAATATAATATAATTGCTAACAATGATCACAAGGTATTAAAAATCAAATTTTTATTATAGACATCACAGTTTAGAAGGCACCATTATTTGTTATATGGGATGTATTCACCTTATTTCGTTTAAGGTGATGAAGGGCTGGTAAAATTTTCCCACAATAATATGAGTAGAGCTGACGTTTCCATTGAGTTTCGCATAGCCTTGCCTTCCCAAAAGTTGTTCTCATCCAGCGCAGTAGTCTCGAAACTGCTTGTATACGAAAAATCATTACTTGTTGTTCGAGTAATCGCATGTGTAAAAGTTCTTAAGTAATATGGATTAAAGGTTACAATTGTTTCTTGGTCCATGGGCTGCAATAAATACTTCGTGTGTGCTGTTAAACATATTACTTTTACATTCTTACAAATCCATAATTATACTATCTTTGTTGCTAGAGGTTGCTTCTAAACCTTATTAAGTTGATGTCCATTTTTCCTTTATTTAATTTGTGTGTTTTAAAATATCCCATACATTTGATTCAGGCATCCCAACATCTCTGACAATTTTAGAATTGTTATCAGTACACTTGCCTTTTTATTACATCAAGTTTTTGTTATAGCCTTAACCATTCGATTCTTTTTTATCTCAAATATTTACTTTAGCATTATTCCCTCTATTCATATCTACTTAGGTGTTATATAATTTTCAATATACTTTACTGCACCTATAAAGGAGAATGGCGTGACAAGCATCAATATCTGTATAAAGAGCAACAGTCTTATAATAATTAATGCATCTGCCTCTGCTCTGTAATCTTGAGCACTACTAATTCACTTTACCTCATTGTTTGCTGCCTGATGTAAATTTATTCATTATTAAAAATAGAATTCCACACTGTTTGAACACATCTAAATCGCAACCTGTCGTTATGCGCACGATTACTTAAATTCCAGGACAGACACACAAGTTGAATGGAGTTAAATGTTGGGTTTATTTTGGAGCAAACTGTCTTCACTTTAGCGACATTCTGGTTGTTTATTATAGCGGCTAGATAAGTAAAGCTAGATATCAGTAACCTGTATGTACTGGATTTCTATTAAATTTTTTTATTTTTCAACTTATATGTTAGCTTGTCGTTAAATGGGAAGTGCATTTGGTCGTTAAAGAGACATTAAGCATCCAAAGTTATAGAATTCTTTAGATAGCCAACTGATCCACTATCCTGGCTTTTATGAGTTCTCACCTTATGTATTGTGGGGATACATGACCACTAAGACTAGATAATTTCTAGACCTAAGACTAATAGCAAAGACTCAAGATTCTATGCATCTGAATTTGAAGATAATATTTCGGTAAATGGTCCAGAACGCGACGTTTTACCAGCCAGATTACAATCAAGAAACTTAGGATTAGGAAATAGATCTAGTTGAATAAATCGATCTTTTTTTATTAGATAAGAAAATCAAAGAATGTGATCAAGGGTTTAAATCAAAGGTAGCACGAAATAGACGCCAAATAAATGTGTCCTAGTTTAGTATACTTATAGATAGCTACATAGACCACAGTAAAATATCTCAAATCAATTAAAATATTCGGACATGATTATCATAATAGTTACCTTTATCTAGATTTGCTTTTTTTTGGATCACCATTATCTGATCTTTATTTTTAATAGAATAAACTCAAGAAAAATTTACGCATAGGAAGTTCCTACCACGTTGGCACTTCTTTTCAACCGGATCCATTTTATCCTCCAGTGAATTCATCTTCCCTTACTTCGGAGAGCCATGCAAAGCAATATCCTCTTACTGCGACGGAAAGCGCTGCCTTTGTTCGTAATCCTTTATCTCTGATACGTGGCCGAGAACAGGGTCATATTGGAGCGAGCCCCAAAGGTCAGTACTTGTGTGCTCATTATTCTGGTTGGCGAACTACCGGACCTAAGAGGCCGGATGGACTATTGGTTTTTGGTGGGCGAAAATACGGCACCTGCAATTGGCCTGCACCACTTACATTTCAAGAGAGGATCCTCGGGAGTCTTTGGGCCGTGACGAGACTTCAGCATGAGAACCTTTTTAAAGTAAGTTAGGTCGGCTACATTCTAGAGCCTGCTAGAATTGCTCGAGCTTAGTGTTAAAATGAAATTTCGGAGTTACTCTTTTTTATACAAGTAGTTTAATCCGGTTTTCTTAACTTGGTTGTGTTGTCAGAGGCCTGGGTGAATGCACCTTGTACGGAGTCCTCTGCATCGGACCTTTGTCTGCGACCGCTACACTATCTTGGTCTGCGTATCTCCGATTTTACTTTTTTGCAACTATTTTT